TTCTCGTCACCTGGCGTAGAGCGATCTGTCGAATGAGAAAAAATGTCTGTGTGGTAGCCGCCATTATATGGTGAAACTGGAGCATGATGTGATTGCATCATACTCCCTCCCTCAATCCAAGTGGTCGACCAAGGCCATGTGCTTAGGGTGACTAATTTTCTGGCTTTTCTACTATGACAAGTCAAGTCTCTCATGTTCTACGGCTAAGTACTGTGTCTGAGCGGGAGACAGTTAACAGCTGGCATATGAGGTAATTCTTCTCTGGTCAGTTTCTTCTCCCTGAAATAGTACAGCACCGATTCCTCCTATTTAATATGCGACCGTTTGAACGAAAACGGTTGTTCATGAAGTGATGTACAAAATCGAGACGGAGAGACAAGTTTTTCTTTTAAATTTTAGAATGCCTCTTACCGTCTATCTCCATTCAATTTTATGAGCCAAACGGTTTTTTTAACGGAAGGATAAGTTTGTTGTAATTGAGCTCGAACTGACTGTACAAACTGTAACTAATGTAAATTTTTTACTTTTTTTGATATAGAAAATTCAGTGATTGCAGTTAACTTCTCTGACTCCCTGATCAGTTCTCTGGTTAATTCTCATCAAATCTACTATGTGTTCAAAAAATTGATACGAAAAAAAAAATTGATTCTCATTTGTTAACATATGCGTCTAACTTATTATAAGCATTCTCCTGTAACACCACATCTCAAAAACTTTTATTCTTCTTTATTTCTCTTTGAGAATTGTCCACATTTCACCACCATACAGCATTATACCCCATACGTAAGTCTTCAGAAAATTTATCCAGACGCGTAAGTTGATATTTCTTGAAGTAGAAGTCCTCTTTTTTTTTAAATAATATTTTAGCTTGTCATATTCACTCTATTATTACTCTTTTATTTCTACCATCTTTACTTATTATGCTTCTCAAATATGTGAACACTTCTACTTGTTCTATTACTTGGTTATTTTGCTAATGTATTCTTGTTCTAATATTGTTTATGTTATATACAAGAAGTTTGGTCTTCTTTTGTATTTATTTTGATGTTCAATTCATTGAGTAGTTTCTTCCATACATCCGAACCGAAGTATATCAATTTTACTACCATTTATTATTATACCCATATGTATTGATTATGTCAATTGCCTCTAAAATGTAATCATTGAATATGCTAGTTGAGAGATTACAACCATGCCTTACTCCTTTTCTTATGTATGCCTTATCTTCAATTTCATCAAATAGTAAAACAATTATTTCCTTCTGGTACAGTTTAAAGAGTATTTTCAATGTATTCTATACCAGTTTTTTTTAGCATTTTGATCATTATTGACCACTTGACATTATCGAACGCTTTTTTTATATCAACAAAAACTATTTTTCTTTTTAGATCTCTAAGTGTTTTATCAAATTTTTCTCTCAGTACACCGTAATATAACCCGTTTTCTAGTACTCCTTCATGTTCTATTTCTTTTTTAGTGAGTTCTGGCCCCTCGTATAGCTGGTCTAGATACTTTTTCCATATGTTCCCTCTATATTAGTCCTCATAAATATTAAGTCGTTGATGCCGGAGATTTTAGCACCAGCCATTCTATGGACCATTCATGTAAGTCAGGCTTTAGGTGTCAGATTCTGTTTAGAGATTTAAGTCTTAGGTAATCTAAGCATAATCGTTGGGATCCGTTCTTTTTCTTGAGAAAAATTACGGGTGCTGCCTGGATGTTATGCTCAATAAACCGGGTCCTTTCCACTTCTCCGGAAAAAACTTTCAGGTATTTAATTAGAACTAGATATATTCCGGAACTCTTCTTTCAGAATAATCATTCTCGATTCAGTTTCCCGTTTAATTGTCGGTTTTCTTTAGCATACCGTCACTTGTATCCATGTGTATAATACATACTTGGTAGACCTAAGCCTGTTTTACTTAGAAGTCAAGGTCCAATAAAACGTCTTCAAGAAGATTGTTGAATACGGCAGCATTAATTGGAGTTCAATGTAAAGTACTTGTGTTGTGAATTCAGCATATTCGTAGACTTGCATAGCCTGGCTATCAACCAACATGACCAAACTAGGATCTCCTCTTATTAGCTTACTAAATTTGTATACAATCCACAGAAAAACATAAAATCCAGTTTCCTGTGAATCTAATAAATCCACTACAATGTTTGTCAAAAACTGTAGTTCAATCTTCGGCACATTATACTTCTTTGTTGCTCCGTTGATTATTGCTCTTTTACCATTCTTGGTTGGTTTAGAAAAATGTATTTTACCATATGAATGCTTTTTACTAACTTAATTTTGGTTGTCATGTCTAGATTTAGATCCTGGTTAAACGTTGTACAATTACTCTGTTCGCTAGACGAAATATCTTAGGCAAATAAACTATCCTAAATTTTGTTCGTTTTCCGTTTAGCCAGTTTTTCTCTCTATACAATTTGCCCAACCATACCTGGTCTATTTGCTGTTTTTACATCACAAGTTTTTAGGTGGGCTTTTGTCCACCTTTTTTTCCAGTGGCTGTTTCTTGTTTGCTTATTTTAAGCTATTTGTTATCGCGGAATACATCTTCATCTTGTATTTGCTGCTACTCCTACAATTGTTCCAGTGTTGCCAAAACCTTCATATTTGTATATAGGAAATTGGCATTGTCAGTAAAACTGTATACTGTTAGTTCAATAGCTAATATGAATGAATTTATGTGAACTTTAAAAAACAATGGATAAACTAATAAGTAATTAACTGACGGCAGATCATGTGGAATATTAATAATGAATACTTTTAATGACACCAGACTTATCTTACGAGGTGATTTCATTTACTATTGAATATTAGATGATCGTAGGAATATAAAAAAAATATTTTTTCTATTAATTATTAACCCATGCTGAATCAGATCAAGTCAAATATGCGTGTAAATTAAAACTAAAATTTATAAAATATCATCAAAACCTTTAAGCTCTTAAGGACTTCGCAAAGTTAATTCTTTGACACAATGCAGGTACTATAAACACATGACAGTTTTTTTATATTTACGTTAACATATTCTTCTTTCTGGCAATTGCTATATATAACAATGTAAATTCTGTTTCCAGATGGAAATATATAATCATATATATATATATATATATATATATATATAACAATAGGTACATGTTGCCTTTTCAAAAGGCCATAATTATTTTGTTAGAACAAATTTTTTATTAATTCAAGAATAATAACTTGGAAAAATAATTTAAATTTTAAAATTGTGATCACCTTTGCCTTAATTATGGCCTTCAAACATTTAAAGAATGAGTTTCGCCTTACACGAATTTGATCTTGCGTTATATTGTCCCATCCACGTGTAATCGCTATTTTCAGGGTGCTCATACTAGCATATTTTTTAATTCTTACCTCCAAAATGGACCAGATAGAAAAGTCTATCGGGTTTGCGTTTGAGGATTTTGAAAGTCATTAAATAGACGAATTTTGTTTTAATTGTAAAACATGATTTTCAACCTTTCTTGGGCCATACAAGCTTTTCAAGACGGTACCGAGTCTTGTTGAAATGTTCACGTCCTACAACGAAATATTTGTGTAACCACGGCTCCAATGTACAATGTAGCTTCCAAATAGTCTCATTTACTTTGACACTAGGCTGTATAAAAACGACTTAGAAGCGTCCAACAGAGATATCTGCTGCTCAATACATTATTTGTGATGTGAAATTACTTCGGGTGACCATTAAAAGACAAAAATTCCCACATGTGCATTAGGCGAAGTAGCGTTTTGGGAGTTGATAAATTGGTCAATTGAAAAATTTTTCCTATCATAAAATACAATGTTCGGACATTGACCATTGTCATGCAAGTTCAACGACTGTTTTTCTCTCTATAGGTGAATTTTTTTTTTGTTTTTATGTAGATCATATGATTTTTGAAACTCGTAAGGCATAACTTTAAGTTCATTTTTCAGTTTGCGATGAAAGCTATCTTAGGATATTTTCAGTTCTTTAATCGTTTGCCTTCCACTTCGACATAGGTTAAAAGTGTAGCCGACGCCGCATCTTCACTTTCCAAACCATTCTCGGTGATTTTTCTGTCTTTTTTGGTACACCATTGCATTAAGTAATGCTGCCAGTATCATTATAACGTTTTATGGTGTAATACACAAACATTTTATTCACTTTGATGTGACTGAGCTCACTAATGATAGCTGGTTGTAATTTACCAGACAAATATAATGCAATCACACTATTACGTTTCAATTCAATTTCGAATATTTTTTATTTTACCGAAATGAGACATGAATACTTCAAGCAGCATGTAAATAAGATAATGAACTGTATTAAAACAATCACCATGTTGCAGTACAGAGAAGTTTGACAGATATAACTAGTGTGAAGTTCGTAATACTTCGTATCGTTAACCCTATACAAGGCTCTTATGACCGTTGTAAATTTAACCCAATGCTATAAATAGAATAAAAATAACCTAATAACTACATAGAAGGGAATTATAAAAAATGGAATTCATAAAATTATACTATAAAGCGTATTTATTTTAAACGTGGATACGTATTAAACGTTATTTTTACTGCACTATTTTATACGTGCCAATCCTTTTATAACTAATATATTATAACTATTTTATATTATAGAATTCAAATATAAAAAAAATATGCAAATTATAATAATCAAATATTGTAAAATGTAATACCTAAATATTTACGCTTATAATTCTCTGCTGTAGTATTTTTAAATAATATATTAAAAATAAATAAACAATTAATTAAAATAATAACAAATCACACACTTTTATTGATAAATGAACAGATATATGAATTTTTTTTTTGTTTAGAAAGCTGAATATCAAACGTGTAATTATGCTAACGATAGACTATAATATTTTTTATCACCTTACGTCATTGCTTTCTATAGTAAATAAAAATGATCAATCATAAATACTATATAGTAATTTTAAAATTAGGTAACAAAATATATAAGTATATAATACCTAAGAATTCAGGAAAAATTTATTTTCAAAGAAATTAGTATTTTTTGATTTTTCACACTGGTACTTAACAGTTTATTTAAAACCAGAAAATCCTTAAAATATTTTAATTATACGCTCATTATATAACGTAAGAATTTATTTATAATTTTACTCTAATATTAAATTATTATTATTTTTTTATTAGTTCATAAATAATAATTGATAAAATATTTTTCTTGCAAAAATTTTTTCAGTAAAAAGATAATTTATACATTTTTTTTAATTTTAAAGGGTAACAGATAAAATGGATTTCATATTCCTATTGACATTATTTCTATCTGTAAGTCATATTTTCAATTAAGCGATTATGAACTTTAAAAACTATTAGTTACTAACAATTTTTGAACAATTAATTCGGAAAATAAGTCTTCAAGAAGTGAGACATGGTTTTATACTACGGACCGAATTTTAATGCAAATTATATTTTTAAGGAGTGTTATACACAACATTACTCTGCAATCACTAGATCCGATTTATTAAATAAAAAATTGAAAGATTAAAAATGTTTTCAATTTTTTTCGATATTAGAATTTTTAAGTCATTTTTGTCATTTTAACATTTTTGAGAACAGAATTAGACAAAAATAATTTATTTTAAATTAAATGTGTTGGGTAAAAAGTGTATTCCTAATAATTTCTTATTAAATAAAAAAAAAATACTAATAAATATGACTAAAATGTACCTTTGTAAAATATTGAGGTATTACTGATATTATTAACAAGATCTATCTAACATTTTATAGTATACACTGATATACATTAAAAATAATCTTGTAGAGATATGTTAATTTAGATTGTAGAGGGTAAATATTAGTTAATATTAGTCTTACAGAAATGCAAGGTCCATACCATTTTTGCTCATCACAAGAACTGGGTACACTTTATTGGTTAATTTTTAGTTCTGTATTGGGCCTTCCTTTTATGCGTCTCTAGCGTATACATGCTAAAAAAATTTTTCCTGTTAAATCTAGTTCTTTCGGTGATTTCAAAATACACAAAATTTGTGACAATTTTCTCAAAATTTTTATTATCTGGGACTTAGTCGCTTTTTAAATTGAAAATAAACTTAAAACATTTTTCAATTGAAAAACTCTTAGTCATATATTTTAATTTTTTTTGGACTTCAATTTAAATGGATCTATTTTTTTTTTGTTAAAAAATACTTAGAAATTTTAAAGTGTTTTGTTTTGATTATTCTTTTAATATAAGTTTATTTGTTCATCAAATAGTAATATATAATTTTTCTCGTCATGAAATAAATGTAAAATTTAAAACATAAATAAATATACACATAATAAAATTATTTTCATATGAATATGAAATATCTTCTCACGAAGGGAGACTACAGTGATGAGATCCTTAATAATAATTGAAGTTATTGAATCTAAATGAGATAAAAATCAAATAATTTGAACATTTTTTTCTAACTAAAATAATTAAGAAAAAAATACATTTGTCAGAAGTTAAAAACGGCAATGTCAACTAATTCAAAATTTCGAAGTTATTTTTCTCGACTTAAAAGATGCAAAAAAAGTTTAAATTTACATTCTATGTCAATTAGATTTATATAATATTCATGAAAATCAGTGTAATCCTCTTGTAAGGTGTTTCAAAATAAAATAAACTACAAAACTGAGAATTTTAATACAAAAATAGCATATTTTTGAATACGGTAGCCATTTTCACCAAAAATAAAAACTATAATTTATTTATTGTTTTATTTTAACATATGTTTAAAGATTGGAGTATTTTTTTTTTAACTTAAGTTTAAAATGTTAAATATTTGTGCAGAATTTGCTATTTTGAATCCCCCCTGTCGACAAGAAAAAGGTTAGATATAAAAAAAATTATATCAAATGAAACAAAAATACCTATAAAAGTTTTTATTTTAAAAAAATATATTACTATATAAAAAATATTTTGATTAGTTTATTTTTCAAAAAGTAATTGCATTTTTAAGAAAAGAAAGTTTAAAAATTGTTGGAATTTACCGATTTCAAAAATTGTAATTTTTTGAGGATTTTCCCCATTTACAATGAATGAGAGAAATTTTTTCAATTTTTAAGAGTAATGCCTTCAACTAGATATAATTTGTAATCTAGTGACATATCGTTGAGAAAAATCGGTCCTGTGAGAGCTGAGAAAAAGTGGCGACAGATATAAAAAAAAACACATCATAGTTAAATTAATATTATTTCAGCTTCACACCGAAGCCAAAAACGACTTAAAACTTTTTGATTTAATTTTGTGAAAATATTAACAAAATTCTTAATAATTTTTAGCTTACTTTTATTAGTGTTAAACTGTAGCATATATCAGTAAAATGACGATTCTTTTGGTTGCACAATTTTAGATTTTGAATGAATATAAACCCAAATATCAGAACTTTTTTTATACCTTTTTTATGTATGAAATTCATATTTCTGAATTTACTCAATACTTATTAAAAAAAGGATAATTTTTTAATTTTAGTACATAAATGTACATTTTTGTGGACAAACAAATACATATTTATCCAATTTTTGGTGCACATATTTGCATTCTTTTTTTATGTTCTTTTATTTTATTCCTTATGAGTCTTTAATCAAATAAAAACATTATATTGAACAAAGGGATAAAAATATTTAACAGGTATACTTAATAAAAAATTAAAAAAAAAAAGTATAAAGGAAATTGTTAAATATCTGATATTATGTACTGAGAATAATGATAAAACAAAAAATTTGTAGATAATTGAACGCTATCATAACGTTAAACAAAATAAAATTAAAACGTTTAACATATTCGTTAAAAATCATTTAATTAAACTATATGGGCAAACAAAAAATATGTAAAAGTTTAAAAAATTTATACCATAAAAACAAAAATAATATTTTTTATTTCCCCCATTTACGGGGAATGAAAGACATTTTTTCAATTTTTATTGGTAGTGTCTTCAACTAGATATGATTTGTGATCTTTTGACATATCGTTGAGAAAAATCGATCCAGTGATCTTTTCGAAAAAATAAGCTCATCAGACAAATAACTTCCTTAACTTTTGTGATTCGTTAATTTTTAATAACCCATTGTATTCTGTTCTTTTTTTCAGATCTTTATAATTGATAATATAGCAGAATCTAACAGTGAAGATCAAAAAATTATAAAAGAAAAACAAATGAGAATTTTACGCGATAATGTCAGCCGAGCAAAAAGTCATTTGTTTAAATGCTTAAAAAAATATGAAATATTGAAGAGAGTCACAGTTTTTGATTCTACATTAAATGGTAATTTACTATACTTCTTTAATATTATATATTAAAGTATAAAATTAAAAATACTTTATTTTACAAAAATAAATATATGAAAAAGTCCCTATATAATATAGGAAAAACAGTTCCATTAAAAGGGGAAATGAGGGAGTAGGATGGTAAAGATGAGAGGAAAGAGGAAAAAAAAAGTTATATGAATTGTGTTGGTTCATTCATATCATCTTAATCCTACCTCTTACCCACTTTATCCTATTTCTTAATATTACATAAATATAATGCATGTCTTACGACTACACTTACCTTGATATCTAAATGGACTCGTAGATAGATGATGAATTGTGATGTTCCTTGTTGACGTCGATATTTTAAGTTAATTTAAATAAATAAAAAATACTGGTATGAGGGTAAACATACTGCGTTTATTTCTATGTTTGAATTAATTATTTTAACAAATGTATAAGTCTTATAATTAATATTAACAAAAGTAACATGAATTTTAAATTATTAACTTTTTATGAAATTGTAAGAGTATGAAGGAATAATAAGTGAGAGTATGCGAGTGTGTCTGATGTGCTAATTTTACTAGTCCTTTTATATTAAACTAGTTGGTTAGGTGATGAAGGGAGGCTAGTTTTCTTAAGAGTTTAACTATTTTATCCTGCCGTCTGTTCGGCACCACAGATACGCTAATGGTAATTAAAAAGATTGGCATTAATATAAACATCGCTCCGAATAAGCGATATATTTGTAAAAAGTAATAAAATAATTGTCGGTCAGAAAAGTATTTAAATTTGATAATTATTTATGTGGAAAGATTATTCTAGAAGTTTTTCGAATAATCTCAAAACTTCTATTTTTATTCATTACATAATATAGTAATAAACGTCGCTTAATTTTAAATACGTACATAGCATAGGATAATAATTGCTAATAGTTACATTAACTACAATGTAGAATATTTATCTTACTAATATAATTAGAATTAATTTGTATAATAAATCTGAAATAAAACCAAGGATAATACAACTAAGGATTCAAAGTAAAAAACAATTAGAGTAAAGAAGGTCATCAGAAATGAATTGACTAAAAAGTTGTATAAAAACACAGTATTTAAACATCATAAACATTCCTATAAATAATATATTTATGTAAAAGCAGTAACCTTTTATTGCTCTTTTATCCTATAATCACATATAACAGACGTGCTTCTGTAGTCACACATATCATTTTAATTTAAATTTTATTATTGTCAGTCACCCTACTTACTCCGTGTCAATGAAACCGATAAGTAGACCGCCAAAAGGCTGCTACCGCCACCGCCTTTTTACAAAATATACATATTTTTGTTTTTTACAAAAATTTAAATAAAATAATTTTTTTGTATAAATAAATACAAAAAAATTAAGAAACTATAAACATATTTTAACAGTATAGAAATTTCTATATTCCTCTAATTTTTAAAAAGTTATTTTTATACAGGTAAAGCTTTTTTGTGGTTTTTAGTTTTTATAAAAAAAACATCCTTTACTTTAAAAATTTAGAATTTATAATGCGCATTTTTTTTTATTACATTATTAACATTCATTGATAATATACTAAATTATAGTTTATAGACTTAGAATTTTTTTTATTTATTATAATCTTCTTCTTCTTTCTTATTTTACCTTGCCTTTATCTCAACTACTTGGAGTCGGTCATCCAAAAATTTACACTTGATACGATCTCCTATATCATCTACACACACATCAGCTGTGCTCACATCGCATTAATAACATCCCTCCTTCTCTTTTTTGGTCTTTCTCTACCTTTTTTTCCTTCAACATTCATTTCTATAACTGTTCTTACAGTTTAAAATTTTTCTCTTTACATTACATGACCATTTTAATTTATTTTCTCTCATCTTATCCATGATTGACACTACACCTATACTCCTTCTTATATGTTCGTTCTTTATCCTTTCTTCTCTAGTCACTTCACTCATCCATCTACGTATTCTCATATCAGCTCTATTCTTTTATCTATTGCCAAACACTCTAAACCATACATAGTCAAATACTGTTCTCCACACCTCAAGACTTAGATTTTCTCCTTATTTTCTTCTATTAATACTATATCGTCTGCGAACAACATGCACTATGGTAACTCTCCTTGTATTTTTATATTAATTTCATCCATCACTGTTATGGACTTAAAGCAGAACATTGGTGTGCTCCTAATTTTACCCTAAAATCTTCTGTTACTCCACCCATACATTATACTATACATTTATTTAATTAAAACATTTAATATACTATTATCTATACAATCACTTATATGTTTATACACTTTATATTGTGATAATCTTTTTACGGTTTTTTTCTTACTATTTTAAGTCTATAGACTCTTTTACCTTCCATTGTTCATAGCCTATCATACCTCTTAAATTTCGTCAAGTTTGTCGCATACTTGACTTCTTTACACAAATGTCCATCCAATTTTCTTTCCATTTGGTCTTCTGCCATACTTTAAACTGCTTTTTCTTACTTTCTATGATTTTTTGAACGTCCTCATGCCACCATTAGATTCCCTTGTTTTCTGGAATTCTACTACTATTGCCAACGATCTCCTTTGCAGTATTCTATACATAACTAGTAAATCTTTTCAATGTATCATTTATGTCTCCTTCCACATTTCTCATCGTCCTCTCTTTTACCGTCTTTGAAAACTCTTTTAATTTTCCTCTTTCAATTTCCACCACCGGATTCTCGATTTTCCTCCGGTGTTGTTTCTATTACTATATATTTTCTTCCTACACCACAATTCCATTACCACTATTCTTTGTTATATTACACTCTCGCCTGGGTTAACTTACCAATCTTTTACTCGCTTTACGATCTACCTCTTCCACTAAAATAATCAATCTGTGATCTATTACTCACACTCTTATAAGTTATATAATGTTCTTCCTTCTTTATAAAATAAGTATTAACCACTGCAACATCATACGATACTGCGCAATTCAGAATTCTTTCTCCAGTCTTTTTCTTTCTACTAAAGCCCTACTAAACCCTCCATGTACTCTTTCATATCCACTCCTCTCATTACCTACATGTCCATTCATCTCCACCTATCACCACATACTCATTGCCAGGTATCCCTTGCATCACCTCATCCATCTCTCTTCAAAAAACTTCCTTGTCTATTTCATCACATCCTACTTGTGGTACATAGGCACTTATTACATTTAACAATTTTTCCTCAAAAAATTAATTTGATGACTATAATTCTGTAACTTTTTCTAGTTACTTCTACTATTTTACTTTTCATCTCCTTATCTATTTTATCCGTACACCATTCTTTTGTATTTGACTTACCTGAATAAATAATTTAATAACCCTCACCTATTTCTCTTGCTTTCTCTCCATTACACTTAGTTTCCTGTCCAAAACGAATGTTAACTTTTCTCCTCTTCAATACTTCTATTAGTTCACAACTTCTACCAGTTAATGTTACATCCCACGTACCTATTCTTACTTTTTATTTATCTTTCTATCGATATTCGCAAGTACACAGCATTTATTATCATTGGTAATGAGGCACATTGATGTGAGTTTATAAATACACCAACTGACAATACAGAAATTATAACTATTGATAATCGTAATTGACACCTTTGGTTGATCTTCTATATGAGACAGCAATACTTTAAAACTGTAGAATAGTATCTACATTCATGACATTGTTTTTGTGTTCTTACTTGAGAGCACAATTATGAATAGAGGGTACTCATACTGTATGAGTATACGGATTAACTACGGTGAGTTGTATTACGCAGAGCACGCTGAAAGTACATGAAATTGTAGGTTAGAAAAAGCACTCACTAACACATTTTAAAATCATAGAAACATTAAATTGCACTGACAACAACAGCAGCTGATAACAATGGTACAAGTGGGTATTGCACCATTTCCAGTACTACCAAATAGAGACGAGCATGTGTTAAATTGATCTCTTTTAGCGGGTTCAAACAATTATGACTTTTAGAGGCGTAAACTAGACACTGGTTTATATTCAAAATTACTATTCAGTATTAAATTGCAGTACATTGAAACCATTAACTGTTAACGAACCAATTGTTTCTTACTATATAGAGGATTATTTTTTAGTTGCAGGATATTTTACCTACACATTTCACTACAATTTTGATGAAATGTTAAATGAATTTAGAGTACGCTTACAGGATGGTACAATAACTTCTGATCAAGTTACACAAGAAATGTGTGAATATATTTGTGGATTATGTAAAGGTACTGATGAAATGATTAAACACGGTGGCCCTGAAGGTTGCAAACATAAAATAACTGTATGCTCAAATAAATTTCAGACATATTTAACTAATATGTCACCTCGAAATACGGTAAGAAGAAAAAATACATTTAAATTAAAATACAAGCTATTACATATTATATCGAGCTAGTAAATAGATAACTCTCTTTCTGTGGTTTCAATCCGTGGATTGGTTTGCAGACATTTTCCATTCTTCTCTATTATCAGCTTTCTTTTTCGTTTCTACCTTAGGTATTTACCTATCATTTTATATATTTTTGTAAACATTTGACCTTTTACCAGCCCACAAGAATGATTTCAAAATGGTATTTTTTTCACAAAAAATTAACTTTTTCAACTCAACTTTTGAAAATGTTCCGGAAAGACTAACACTTATCTATATATCTTAAATTAAAGCTTATGTAATATAATTTATTTTGAAAAAAAAAATTGACCTCTGGACTTGTCTTCATGATAAAAATGATTAACGTATGCAAAAATATGCTATTTTTGTTAAAAAATTCATGATATTATATTTTACATGTTAGCTTCGATGTGAAACTCAAATTGAAGCTAAATGTGAAGCTGAGAATTGGATTTACTATGATTTACTATGATTTGCTTTTTTTTTTTTTTTGTGTCTGTTACCACTTTTCTCAGCTCTCACCGAACCGATTTCTTTCAATGATACATCAAAAGATCACNTTTATTTTTTTTTTCTTGTGTCTGTTACCACTTTTCTCAGCTCTCACCGAACCGATTTCTTTCAATGATACATCAAAAGATCACAAATCGTATCTAGTCGAAAACATTACCCTCAAAAATTGAAAAAATTTCCATCGTTTTCCGCAAATGCTATTTTTGTGTAAAAATTCTCGATTTTATATTTTACATTTTAACTTTATAATTCTATAACTTATTGAAAAGTGTATGGATCAACACAATTTTTTTATGAGAAATAATATTTATATCCCTTTTTCATTCGACATACATTATCTTAATCAGGATATAAATAAGGAAATATAAGATCATGTAGCTTTTGGATTAATCCACCAATTTTTTTTAAATTAAACACTATCTAAAAATTTGCATCGAAGCTTTTTTTTTGATAGTGATTTTAATCACTGTCAGATATCATTATACTTGATCCAACTATGCCACGTCACCACTGTGCCACGACCCCCCTGTTCTGGGTTTTTTATTAATAAAAATATATAGTTTATTAATGATAAATTATCATTAAATAAAACATATTTTTTTATTCTCTTATAAATTAAAATTATTGTTTTACTATTTTTTTCAACTTAAAAGCACTAAAAACTTATAAAAATATTAGTTTTTCATAAAAAAAAATGTATTATAAAAAAAAATTGTATTGATCCAAAATTTTTCATAAAGTTATAGCAATTTAAAGACGAAAATATAAAATCGAATACAGATTTTTTTTTAACCAACAAGTTATTATTCAACTGTCATTTTTTTAATTAGGTCATTATATAATCAATAAACTGTTTATGTTTCTATTTGAAAAATTAGAATTGCCATCCTTAGTACAAGTAGACCCTTAGTGTCAAAACATGTATGATTTTATAATTATTTAAGATCTCTTACAAATCATAAAATATGTCATAAAAAAAGATATTCAATTTAATAAATATGTACAAATTTTTTTATAAAAATCATCTTAATAAAAATAAATAATGAAAGAATATTTATATCCTTAAAGTAAAAATGAACTGAAAAATTTCATTTCGAACATTATCAAACAAATTTTTAGTCTTATTAAATAAATTTGATTGATATAATTTATAACAAAACAATAAAAATGGAAAAAGTCGCATTAAAAATAATATTTAATACTTACGAGTAAATATAAAACTTCTAATATCAAGAGCTTCATTGTGGAGTTAATTAATGATACTTCTTCTTCGTCCTCGCCTTAATCCCAACTACTTGGGATGAATTATTAACTAAAATATTATATGGATGTTAATCTGTGTAATAAAAATAACTTTTAAAAGTTGAACTACCGTATTTAAAAATATCCTATTTTTTGTTAAAATTCTAGGTTTTGTATTTTATTTTATTTTAAAATACTTGTCAATGGAAGTACACAGATTTATCATAAATATTATATAAATAAAATTAATATAGCATAAAAAGTTAAACTTATTTAAATTTTTTTGCTTTTTTGAATTTGAGTGAAATAACTTTGAAATTCGAACTTGCTTAAATAGCCATTTTTTTCTACCGACGGTAGCCGAGTCGGTAAATCTTGTGTTTTACGCGCTTGGGGTACAAAGTCCCAACCCGCGTATGGCAAGGAATTTTTTCTTAATTCTTTTTAAGTTAGAATCAATTTTCAACTCCTTTGATTTTTATCTCATTTAGATTCAATAAATTAAATAAAGATCAAGGATCCTATCACTTTAGTCGCCCCATGCGAGAAGAAATTTCTTATTCTTATTAAAATTATTTTACTATTTTTTATTTTTTAGCTTTGATGTAAAGCTGAGAAAATATTTTATTTTGTGACTATCATTTGTTTCCTCTGCTCTAACTTGACCTACTTTTTTCAACGATACGTCAAATTACTATAATTCGTATCTAGTTAAAGATATTACCCTCAAAAAGAAAAAATTTTAATTTATCAATGAAACAGTTACTTATCCCATGTTCTCCATACAGACAATTAAAATCATTCATTTCTAATATTTTTAAAGTATTTGTTGTCGAATTTGATTTGATATGATAAAAGTATTCAACTACAAAAGTAAATAATTTTACTTTGTAATTTATTAATTTTTTAACTCTATTTCTGTATGCTACTACTACTCTATAATATTCCATATTTTTGGTAAAATGTTGCTATATAAATCGTTTCTAAAAAAAATTATTGTTAGTTTCTCCTGAATTAACAATGGATTTTTACAATTATAATCAAATTTTATAATACGCTCAATTGAGTAAATCTTTTTAATAACTATGTTTTGATGGGTTAATTTAGTTAAAGCAAATCATTAAAATTAATTAAGTTCTGAATATTTCAATTATAGAATCTTTTTAAACACAAAAGTTACTAGGTAATGAGTACTATTATTTCAATTTCAGTTATCTATTACGATAAACATGGCAACATATATTGAGCTACACTGATAAATTTACTATAAATAGTAATTATAAAACTTCCTAATTGCATATTAATCTTAATGGTACAATTTTGTTATTTCTTAAAAAATTTCCTATTTAATGATGTCAACTTCAAACTTGCCAATTGAGCTAAATGTTATGGTAAAATAAATTGATTTTTTATAATTATAAATATTCACAAAAATCAATTTTAAACGATTAAAAACATGGGTTAAATATGTAATTTTCCTTATTTTTAACATATTAATATTAAAAGCAGTATTAATTTAAAACTATTTTTTTTTTTGTTCTAAATTATTTTTTTTTAATAGTATTTTAAATATTAAAACTTAGAAGTGATAGAAAAAGTTCAATTGCACATTTGAAAACATCGAGATAAGTTGATTTAGAAAAGTATATTTTTTTTCTGATGAAAGTTCCTTGTATAAAGTCTAGTGTATAAAACTTATAACTTTAATATAAGTAACAAAAATTTTTTATTAAAAAATATTGCGTCAAACTCTTTGTATTTTTATACACCATAAAAGTAAAGAAATATACTACTATTTTATTATTTTTATAATATATCCGTAAAAATTACAATATTAAATTATTGAATATCAATTTCATACTAAATTTAATTACTAAAATTGTTATTTATTCATATATAATAATTATAAATTAAATAACTAATCGGGATAAAATTAAAGGAATAAGAGTTATTGTTGTTTTTGAAATAATCTATCAATTTCTTAAAATAAAACACTATCTACAGATTTGCATCGAAGCGTTTCTTGTGATAGTGGTTTTAGTCACTGTCAGATATCATATATATTTGTCCCAACTATACCACGTGACCCCACTGTGCTACCGTTTTTTTTTTATAGTGTCAGGCACATATTATAACAGTAATAATAATAATGGTTATAAGAGTATAATATAAATAAATAAGTAAGTAAGTAACATTATTAAACAATACATAATAAAATAAATACATTAAGTAACATATATTAAAATAAAATATAATGTTTAGTATGATGTAGTAATACTGTTGAATGTTTTAGGACGTCTTTAGTGTATTTATATTTTTTGGCCCAGATGCGAGCTAAGTTAATTCATTGGCTTGTGTGTGACTTGTCTCCTGGGGTGCACGTTTGAGAGCAAGCTGTGCATGTGATGATGTGTTGCATTGTCTGTTCTCCGCATAGGTACAATGTGTCTGTGCTATCTAAAAGTCCCCATTTCATTAGACTATCTTTCGTTCGTCCTATTCCTGTCCTGAGTCTGTTTAGTTATCGCCAGACCGGTCATGTTTCATTATTACCAGGTGGAAGTGGCTCGTTCGGCACCAAGCTGGAAGTACTGTTTATCTCATTTCTTCATCTGATCGTCTTTTCTGCTTCAGGATGTGTTGACAAGATGGCTTTTGTATGGTTCATAAAACACTTCGTGGACTTGAGACGAGGTAGTTATACTGCTCATGGGATGTCATGGGTCTGATATTATTTTCATTCTTTCCCAGTTTGCTTACGTGGACATTCTTATTGAGGAGCTATTCCCGTGAGTATGTATAGTTGTTCAACAGGTGCATTTTTTATGTAATCGGATATTAGTCGGCAAGAGTTGTTTAATGCAACATCGACTTTTTTAGTAAGTGATGACCTACTTCATACTGGACTAGCATATTCTCCCACTGAGAAGCATATGGCTTACGCCGTAGTTCTTAAGACGTGAGGATTACAGCACCATGTGGAGACACTAAGCTTGCGCAATATACCATTTCTTGTCATTATTTTACGTTTCGTGTTTTCGCAATGGAATCTGTAGGTGAGAGATCGATCTTGCGTTACTCCGAGGTATTTTGTTGTGTGTTAGTGAGTTTGATCCCATCCCAGTAAACGTTAAGAGTACGGCTAGCACATTGATTCCTCAAGTGAAAATTACAGACTTGTGTTTTACTTG